GACCCAACCTCAAGTCACTTTTTTGCAACTTTGTCACCGTGCCAGAGCTACAGTAGATGTCGGAGGCCTTTGAAAGTCGCAGGATGTTATTAGGTCATTAGTAGCTACAATTTGTATATCTGGGAATTTTGATATCGGTGACCTAAGGTCAGGTCAATTTCGCGACCTCCCCATTATAAGTCAATGGGGGGAAAATCAACTCCCTGTTTTCTGTTTTTACCACTAAAACGGGTCGGAATGGCCCCATATACCATACCTGACTTCATATAAGATCAACCTTCACTACCTTGAGGTCTGTTTTGCTGTTGGGCAGCTGTAAGGTCATGTGACGTCATCAAAGGTCACCAAAGTTTTTTTTTTGCCAATAACTCCGTACAGGAACAAGATACAGCCGCGCGGATGGTCTCATTGTGTTCAGCTCGTCAGACGCATCGAATGATATACATGATGACCTCGAGGTCACGTGACCTGAGGTCAACCTTTGACCTTGACCTTTCGAGGTCAACATATATATCATTCGATGCGGATTGACGAGAGGATCACGATGATGCCCTTAGTTTGTCCCTATCTTGACTAATTCGAAAGTTATTCGAGAAAAAAACTCTCTCCATATCTAGCGCCGCCATTTTGACTTTTTCGACCCCTGTGACGTCATCTTTGACCTGACCTGAAAATGACCTTTGTAAAAAGTGTAGATCTTGGCCGTGCGTATCCGATGCCGTTTACCGCTTGTCGCTATCTTGCTTCGTTCTCGAGATCTCAGGGGGGGCGGTCATCCGCCCCCCGTCGGTGCGAAGTTGGCGCAGACCCCCGTCGGTGCGCGGGTTAACCCGCGCCCCACTGGGGTCTGTGTATAACACGCCCTACTGGGGGGGGGGCTATTCATAGCCCCCCCCCCTCCTAACTCCGAAACTACTGGGCCGATCGTCAAAATTCAAACGGCGTCTGATAGCCCCGGAAAAACTGTCGAGCGAAACCTAATTTCATTGACCTCGAGGTCACCGATGACGTCACAGGTCAGGTCAAAGTAAAAATTATTAGCATTTTGGCTTTTTCACATTTTGGGCTCTGGCCGCCGTCTTACAAGTCAGATCATGCTCATTTTTGGTTTCCACACTCGTGAACAGATGCTCTAGATACCTTGAGGGTACCAAACTTGTACTTTGATTTTCAGGTCAGGGTCAGGTCATCACAGGTCACGGAAATATTATATCATGCGTCGGTCACGTGACACATGTTTTATGGTCCATTCAGGCCATAGATTTCGAATTTGATGTCGTCTGTGTCATTTGAGGTCATTTTGAGTCGAAGTTAGCTTAGGTCAGGGCACTTTCAGGTCAAAAAAAGGTCAAATTTTGAAGTTAAAATTTCTCAACAAAAAAGGTGTCTATTGGATGCAGTTTGAGCTCAGGAACACGATGGTGCCATTTATATTGGTTTACGATGTCAAATACGTACTGAAAAATTGATTTGAAAAATTAATAATTGTGAATTTTTTGCAATAATGCGTATAACTTGGCCATTTTTGAAGATATTTAGCTAAAACTTGATAGAGTTAGTCATAATCATGCGTTCTGTCACATATATTCCGTTTTTTTTTTTCGAAAAGTTAAAAACTTTTTGAAAAAAATATAAAAATATAAATTTTGAATATTATTATATAAAATTTTCTAAATTTTCTAAATTTTGAAAATCCGAGATAGCAGTTTGATAGCGCAATCAATTCTGAGTCCTTTCATGCAAAAAAATTGGATCTAGCTTAAAAACTGAGCTCTTGGGAGCGATTGCCGTGGTTCAATGTTTTGCGTCGAATTCGGACGAACATGACGTCACTCTGACGTCATTTCCGGCCGACCTATGGTAGCTACGAAGTTCAAATTTTGACACAAGGTGTCAAATTGATGCAGCTAAAGGTACTGAAAGTTTGGCGTCGATCCGTCAAGCGGTTTGGAAGTTATTGCGGAAAAACGGGAGGGGGGCTATAAATAGCCCCCCAGTGGGGCGCGGGTTAATCAATTTTACACCTACCCTGAAATTTTCATGACCCTGACCCTAATGACCTTTGACCTGTGACCTACTTTTCGAGACCATGTTTGGCCGAAATCGCGATTCGGCGTATGTCGGCTCGCATTAGCCGCGCGTTTGCAAGCTTTTCGTGGTTTCAAACGTTCAAACATGTGATTTGATGTTGCTCCCATGCATTAGGGTGGGTTTCAAGGTCACCTGAAGGTCAGGTCAGGTCATTGACCTTTAATGACCTCGGTTCACTTTTTCGAGTTTTACATTTTTCTAGGCCAGTTTTTGGAAGCTGTCAGAGGCGGTTGCCACACTACGAATACCCTTACTGGTCGACCTGACCTGAACTGACCCGACCTGGCCTAAATGCATGAAGACATCATCTGTGATCAAAACTAACATGATATTCGTGATCAGCACCCTGAAAAAACCCATAGAAGCCACGCTTTACGACTTTCTAACAGGTCCCGATTTTCCCGACTTTTGGGTCATTGACCTGACCTGGAAGGTCAACCGACCTTAAAATTGGGTATCATCGGCTTCCTCTCGTCACGGGCAACACGCTCGTTTTTTTTCCGCGAGGCTCTAGCTCGATCAGGGGCGAAACGGCAAGGGGGGTCCAACGGACCCCCCCCCCCCCCTTATACGTTCGCGGCTGGAAAAACACCAATACGGGCGAGGGTTAAGGTGGGATGGTCACTTTATGGACTTTTTCAACCAGTAAAACGCCTTTTGGGCGAAGAACGAGCGAACGAGATAGTGAGCCGCCCTGCACGTGCGGAAGGGTGAGAGGGTACTTCCAACGGGCCTGTGCAAAGCACCCTTCTAACCGGTCGCTAGCGGTGTGCCAAATTTGAACGCATTTGGCCCAGCCGTTCCTGAGATCTGGAAGCGGCAATCTGCACGTGCGCACGTGCAAACGGGGTCCAAACTGACCTTTGCACGGCACCCTTCTAATCGGTCCCCAACCGTGTACCAAATTTGAGCGCAATCGGCCCAGCCGTTCTCGAGATCTGGAAGCGCCCCCTGCACGTGCGCACGTGCAGTACCGCCCTAGCCGCAACACATGGGAATGCATTGCCTGGTGGGTGCCTACCTGTATGCCAAGTTTCAGCGAAATCGCCCCAGTAATTACCGAGTTATTGAAATGGGAGCAAATTTAGCACCTCTTCTTTTTGCATTTTGCACGTGCAGTAGGGGTCACTCACATAGATCAAGAGTATCCGACCTTTGGTAGAAGGGATGCAGCTACCCTACAAAAACTACCGCAAGACAATCGCTCAAGCGGCTGCTGAGATATGAGCCTCTCAAAATCACTACCTTTGCAAAACAGCTTGAACACCCTTGACTATTCACGTGGCACGTGCCACGACGGTCACTGAGATGTATCAGAAGTAGTCAATTACGGGGTAGAAGGGATGAGGCTACCCGACAAAAAAGACCGCAGGTCAATCGGTCCAGCGGTTGCTGAGATATAAGCCGCTCAAAAGCGTTACAGGCCGGGCCGGGCCCGGCCGGGCCGCTCATACTGAGATTTTCCCGTTATATTGAAAAGACTTCGCTGCGCTCGCTCGCTCGTAATCAAGGGTATCATCAAGGTAAACAGGGTACAAAATCAAGACCCTTTCGACAGTGGTAACTGGTAGCTATGAGATGCCTGACGCCTTGGGTTACCGAGACGTACCATATGTATGTTTCTCATTGTACAAATGAAAATTAGCATTGAACGATGCATATAAACAAATATTGCGGGAGATTTGCTCTGCTGCAAGTGCTTCATAAGTCCTGTTTTCTGCTTTTGGATCAAATATTATTAATCAGTAATGAATAACGGTGTTAAATTTATTTATGACAGGCAATACTTCTACCCGTCCACGGGCAAGCTTCCCGTGGAGAAGCTGAAGGCGTCTCCCTCTGACGTCACTGGTGACAGTGTTGAGGTCGTCATCGTCCAGGCTCCGCGCAAGAAACGTGAGTGCCTGCCAGCCCGGCCACCGGTTGGACTCGGCCGCACCGGCATGTGTTTGTGTTCTCCTCCGTATTGTTCAAAGACTGCAATTTTTTTCAAGTGACTGTTTTTTTTGCATTTCCTTTTCCTTTTTCTTTATTTGTTTCCAGTTCCAGCTTGCACATTGGTTTCACTATTGTTCACTTGCTTTCAAGATTGGTAAATTCACTGGAATATCTTCTTTCCATTGAATGAATTCGGTCTATTTAATAACCAAATTTGCAGATTTTTTCATTTGTGTTTTGCATTCTTTCTAACATTAATATGTCTGAGAGCAACAATTTAGGAGAGCGAAGGTAAAAAAAAAAACACATTTATTATTATAGCATAACTAGAAGCTTCAGTACAAGACATAAGCAAACTGCCATGTTGAATACACAGTTTTTATATTAGATAAAAAGAGAGACAAATGAGAAGAATAAAGCAGCTGGGGTTCTCGAGTGCTGCATACACGCTGCCTGAAAGTTTCGAAGCTCAGCCAAGGTTTGTTCTTGCAGGGCCGTCAAAGTCTGAAGCCCCGGAGAAACCAGCGCGAGGTAAGAATAGGTGTGCAGCTAATGATAATGATAATGTTGATGATGATCATGACTGATAGTTATGGCATACACCACTATATATCATAGCTATGGTCATAACTAAAGTCAACTTTGGTCATGAATAAGACGGTATTTTATACAACCTTACGTCATGTTAATAATTAATATACCTATTATAATGATTGTATTTCCCAATAACATGTTTTAACCCGCGACCGCCTGGGGGGGGGGGGTCGGATCCGACCCCTCCCCAGGCTGTCGTGGGTACGGAAATAGCCAAGGCGGTGCCGGGTTAACTCTATGATATTCTTTATTTTTATTGTTGATATTTTGCTTTTCGTTGTGATTGTTATTATTTATTTTGTATGACTATGATACATTTACAGGTTACGAGATAAAGAAAACTCCAAAGGGACTGTTGCAGGTCACAGTTGAAGGAAGTAAGTATGATATTTTTCAGCTTAGGTGCATTTAGATTAGAGATGTCAATCGGATACCAACTTTTTGGTATACCGATACCAAACCGATACCAACTCGGTATTTGGTATTTAAATACTAATGAGTTTGGTATTTTGTTGGTATCATGAACCCTCGCTAATGTTTAAAGAGGCTAAGAAATCGGTAAAAAGTTGGTATTTTCCTCATGTTCCCAAGTTGGTTTGGTTTCGGTATTTCTCCACGGTTTTGGTTGGTATTTGGTTTGGTATCGGCATGGATGATATCGACCCCCACCAAACACGATTTGGCAGCACTGTAATGACGCCTGCTGGGCGTGAAGTTTTCCCTTCACCATAGGGTTTACACACAAATTGGTCAAAGTTTGAGCCAGGATATACTAGTCTAAAAATGCAAAAAACGAACAAATTTTGGCATCAATAGATTCAGCATTTCATCGTGTGCCTCAAACCGTCCATCATTCGGCCTCAAAGGAGGTAAAAATTGTTCAAAATCGAAGTTGAAAAGATGCTTTCTGAGCACATAATCTGGTAGCAATCACGTGACCTGCTATAAGCAGCTTATCGATAATTTACAAACATAATTATTAATATCTGCTTTAAACAACATTAATCATACATTTTGAGCTTTCAGTACTTTAAATAAGGTCAAAACATCGCAAAACACAAAAGTTAATACAATAGTCACGTGGGTGTCAGGAAATGTCACAGGTGCGTCAAATTTGTGACTGGGGCTTTACTTTCAAACATCGGATCTACCTGTTTCTTATAGGTATCTTGGATGATATAACACTGGATTGGTGTCTCGTGGAAATTAACATTGGGATCCGCGACATTGGGATCAGGCCTGCCATCTAGCGAGAGAATTATCGTAAGTTAGGAGCAAGCCGAGTGAACGCCATCTCTCAGCATTATGGCACACGTGGGTGTGGTGTGTTAGTTGGCTTGAAATGCATATTCCCACGAGTTGGAGGTAATCTTACTGGACCTGAGACGACAAAAAATGTCTTAAATGCTTGAAAGCCAAAAACGTCAAGCAGCCTTTAGGTAATAACGAAAATAAAATGCGTAAGACGGTGTGTATTGAAACGCCCGGTCCCATCGGCTTGTACGACCTCTTATATGGTCATTTACTCACAATGGTACAGCAGTTTGACAATATGTCACACATATTTGGTAGGCTTATTCCTTCTTCTCCGAATTTCGCCCGATTTTCTTCATCTTAGTTAACCCGCGCCCCGCTGGGGGGGGGGGGGGCAGAATCTGCCCCCCCTCCCGTTTTTCGCCAATAACTTCTAAACGCGTTACGCCAGCGACGTCAAACTTTCAGTACCTTATCATACATCAATTTGACACGTTACTACAACGATACTGGCACACAATGACGCTAGAACTTAACAAATGGCATCATTGTGTTCCTGGTGATCAGCCGAATCGAATGATATGCGATATGATGCAATTTGGTTAACTTGAACTTAATTTATAAATTTAAGTTTACTTAAAATTTAAGAAAAACTTTAAGTACACTTCAGCAAGCTAAAAAGTATATCATTCGACGCGCCTTGACGTGCTGAGCTCACTGGTGCTTTTATTTTTGCTCTATCTTAATTAGATCAAAAGTTACAAGCGAAAAAAACTTTTGACCTGTTTTTAGCGAAATTTTTTATATTTATACCCCCCAAAACCCCCCTAAATATTGACCTAGAGCAACCAAATTTGCACAGGGGCGAGAACTCCAGGGGGCCCACCTACCTACCAAATTTGGTGTTTCTAGGTGCCATAGGAGCCAATCGCGAGGGGGGGGGGTCGCATCGACCCCCCCCCCCCTGCCAGGCCGTGTTATAAAAAATGCCCTGCCAGGGCGAGGGTTAAAATGACAAAACAATGTACGAAGAAGATCACACATTAAAATTGTTTTTTTTTTTAATTTATTTAACCCACAACACAAATCACAAACACATCGGACACAGCTGACGTCAAGTCATCAACTTCTCCACATCCACCACACCCGTCGCGTCGCCACAGGCTGCGCCTCACCCTCTCAACCCCACACACAAAGAACGGCCAATCTCGCACGAGCCAACGCAGCTAAAGATTGTAAAAAAAAACACACACACAAAAGGCACAACATCGCCATCGCAGCCGCAGCAGCGGACGGACCAAGCACCGGCAGCAGCAGCAGCAGACGCAGCAGCAGCAGCAGCAGCAGCAGCAGCAGCAGCAGCAGCAGCAGCAGCAGCAGCAGCAGCAGCAGCGGCAGCAGCAGCAGCAGCAGCAGCAGCGGCAGCAGCAGCAGCAGCAGCAGCAGCGGCAGCAGCAGCAGCAGCAGCAGCGGCGGCAGCAGCAGCAGGGGCATTCCACGTCAAATCAAACACCGAAATCCGTCATCCCCTTCGATTTTTCTGAAAATTTGTAGGCAGACTGGGCATGGTTCAAAACTGAGTTACGTATAATATTTTCGAAATTTGATAAAGTATCGCTGAGATATAGGTCATCGAATATAGCCAAAAATGCCACACACCAATTTTTCAAATGTCTATAACTCTGGTTCCTTTTCTGGTATCAAAATGATATTAACAGGGTCTTGTAGGCAATTGATAAGGCTTTGATTTTTAATTATAAAATTAAATTGAAGTGACCTTGAAATGCATTTGACCTTGAATTAAAAAAGAAAAATTTAAATAGCAAAAAACACGTCACCTTCGATTCGGGTAATTTTTACATATTATGTCCGTCACAATGTTCCTAACCATCTGTGCAAAAATTGGAGTGGGCCATTCATAACTCTCGCGGCAAACGCCGTTTTCATGCATCAACATCACGCAACCGCGCGTGACCTTGAAAGACAGAGTCAAGACATGCTTGCTTGTGTACACTTTCTGAAAGGAATGATTGCTGATTAGTGATATCCCAAACTCTGCGAGAATGGAAATACATAATAATCGTAGTCAAGCTTTCAAGTTCCATAGTAAAAGTGTCTCAGGCAAACGGTATTTTGCGGTGAATTTTGAGCCGTGTGGAAATGCATCATGAAGCCAAAAATTCAACGAAAACATTATCACGCAACGATATCTTCACGTCTTTTTATCTTCACTATACGAAAGAATATACATTTTTGAGTATGTATGGGGAATTTCTAGTTAATCCAATAATAAATATTGGAGTTAGAGACCTGCTAAGAGTAACATGTCGCCGGCTGAGGCGGGATCGGCCGACGCGGGAAACAGCAATCACAATTTTGTGTTTACACGTTCATATTTCAATTGTTTACCCACTGATTTTCAAAATTCTTACACCATAAGATTGCCTGTACATTTCTTAGTCTTCTCACAAAATTTGACGCGAATCGAACGTAATCAGCGGTAAGGAGCGCGATGTAAAGACGGAACCGTTCCGTTCCGTCCCGGCACAGTCTACAATTCAGGCGGCGGCTAGCGGTCGGCGCCGGCTGCCGAGTCGCCGCGTCGCCGCGGCGACAGGATGTTCACTTTACACCGCTATTACTAGACCAGTTGTGAACCGATTTTCTTCTTGCTTGCACGATGAGATGTGCAATTCAATTTTGGACAGGTAGCTGTAATTAATTTCGCATTAATACTATGAGATATTGGCGGAAAACAGGAGGAGTGGGGCGAAATTCACTCTTTCCCCTCCACTGCGCGTGCTAACATACGTTTGCATATGTGCCATTTTCTTCAAAACTTATGAATGGCCCACTCTAATTTTTTTCACAGGTTGTTAAGAATATGGTAGGCAATAAAATATATGAAAATTAGCCAAATCGAAGGTGACGTGTTTTTTGCTATTTCAATTTTTGTGCTTAAGAATAGAGTTAAGCAAATTTCAAGGTCATATAATTAAGTAGGTGCAATTCTAAACAAATGCTTAAGAAATTACCTAAACAGTAAGGTTTATTTCATCCAAATCACACAAGTACAACCAAAGTTATGGTCGTTCAAAAATATAAAGATGCAACATTTTTTAAAAATTCGATGCCCTATATTTAGAAGACCTGTGGTCAGAATGTGCAAAAAACATCAATGTAATGTTCGGGGCGACACAGGAACTCGCTCACAAATTTATAATGAAATCGCTGATGGAAAGGTGCAAAACAGCCGATTTTTGTTCGATTTGACGTGGAATGCCCCAGCAGAGGCAGCAGCCGCGGTAGCAGCGGAGGGCGAAGAAAGAGAGGGACAAGGTGGGACGAGGATGAGGGGCTAATGTTCGGTTCGTTTGAACGGTGTGTGTGTGTGTGTGTTTTACGTATATGTATCTGTGTCCCTTATATGTATATGTGTGTCTGTACTGAGCATGAATGTAAGGAGTCGTTAATTTATATCGAGATAAGGTGACCACTATCAAGTGTTGGTAGTATATTTCTGAGCCTTTCCCACTTTTCTCCAAATTCAGTCAACTTATTACGTCTTCCCGCACGAAGACGTTCTTTCTTGAACTCTAATTTCAATTCATTAAAAAAGTGTTGCACTGAGGGTTTTGTATCTTGCTTTTTTGCCGAGTAAATGGCCACTTTCGCTAAAACATAAACAATAACTTCAGTGCTTTCGCAGTCATTGAGATTTGGAAAGAACCATTGCTTCTTATTGAATTTATAATCAATTCCAAAACGTGTTCTAAGAACATTGCAAATTTCACTTATATACTCCTTAACTAAAGCGCAGTCCCAGAATAGATGATATAATGTTTCCGGTTCGCGACAGCAGAATGAACATTTATCGTTCTCATATTTACCTATTTTGTACAGAAAACTATTTGATGCTATAATCCTATGAACTAACCGAAAATGAAAAATTTGTAAGTAGGTATTCCTAGTAGCACTGCGGACATCTGCTACAGTGCCTTTTTGAAAGTGATCTATATCTCTCAACCATTTTCCTTCAGCATTGCTTTGTGTTTTGTGATGCGTTTTTCCTAGGTGCTGAACATATTCCAAATACGCTATACGGGATAATTTATTTTTTGCG